TTTTTTTTTAATGTCAGGTGAAATTGATGTAGAATTACCATTGACTTTATTTTCTATCTCCACTTGAGAACGCTTATTGGTGCTGTTCTGAGAGTTCTTGTTATTCCTTGGTGAATCTTTACCCAACAGCCAAGAAATTACTTATTTTATACTTTTATTAATTTCTTTTAACCGAAATAAATGACGTTTATGCATGCGTGGTGGATCTTTTATTTTGAAGGATGCCAACGCCGCTCGCTGGCGACAGATTACCGTAATGCACAGTATTGACAATCGCAGTGCCGGCTCACTTGACTTCGATTTTGCGAGTGCGTGCTGGCTTGACCGCAGTAGAGCAGAGGGGTGTACAGAATATGAAATAATCCAAGCGCGAAGAATCCAATGTTATTGCTGAGCATTAAATGCTGACCAACGACTGCCATTCTCGGTTTCTAGCAAATGAAACGTGGGCACGCCCCCTCGAATTGTCCGGCGTCTTTTTTTTTCTTTGCGCCGCAGTGATCACATGACCGCGACTTTGGCTCATCACTTCCTTCTCTCCTACAAGGAAGACCAACGGAATACATTCGGTCGGCCAAAGAAAGAAAAGACACTCAAAAGCATCCGTGTGTGGCGTTTCCTTCAATTGCGCTGCGAATGAAAGGCTGGCTCGCTTCATGGCTTTTTTCCCCTCCTTCCTTTCAAACAAGCTAACTCTTTTACTGTCCCGACACCGAGGTTTCTATTTGCAATAGAGGCATATTTTCTGTCTGTGGCATTATATCGAAATACACCAGCTTTCCTGAGTCAATGGACGACCACAACCCTTTCCAGGTGAGGTGACGTATGATGGAAAAGCTCCGATTTAGCCCACGTAGCTCTGAATCATATTAAAAAAAACAAACGAACTTGGCACTCAAGTGAGAGGCGTTGTGTCGCTCGTCATGTGACACCATGTGCTTTCTTTTCTTGACTTGCGTCCTCTCCAAGCTTCGGCCGATTTGGAGCTTCTCGTAGCAATAAAGAAAAAGATTTCGCTGCAGAGATTCTGTTCACGGTCTTCTAATGAAGCGGCATTTTGTTGTTGTTGTCGTTGTCAGGACCCAGCAGTGACCCAACACGGCAGCAACACCAGCTATGCCACTTTGGACCTGTACAACCCATTTGAGGGCACGGTTGAGGTATCACCGTTGGGGTTACCCAATTATTCGATGACCCGCTCCATCATCTTTGCCTTTTATCGTTTCTTCTTCTGAGGAAAAGCTCCTCCCAATAAATTAGCATATCATGGGAAATGTAATTCATGTCAAGTCTAAAAGCGAAGCTCATTGTATGCGTGGCTGAAATGGAGGAAGAGCGGCAGTGCCATTCTGGTTCTTTGGGTGACTGAAAAGAAATCCATTTATGTCTCCCCCTTCCACTCAATACAGTTTAGGGGAAATGCATTTTTTATTGATGATTATTTTGGGGTGAAATACATTCAAATGTATCCATGTGACTATTCTAAAAGGCAATTCAATGAATTAGAGAGGCCTAAGGCGTTTGTTTACGCAGTACAGAACTGTACAGGAAGCACACGATTCTTTTGCATTCCTTTTAAGGTTGTTGCTAAGGAACCGTTTGGGTCTGCGCTTGCTGACCGTCAGTTCTTGGTATGAGGAAACACTGGAAAGGACAGGAAACAGGCAGCCATTTATTGCAAAGGTTAAAAAAAGGGATTGTTCTGATGAAAACACGCATCCCAACTGTTATTCATCATGATACAAGTCAAAGGCCTCGTCCGCGTGAGCTTGCTCGTGATCGGATTGAATCAAAAGGTGTCGAGGGAACGGGAAGGTCGATGCGCAGCCAAACACGGCGCCACGTTTGAAGAAGCACAAGTCTGACTCCTTTCTTGGCCTTTTTTTTTTGTATTTTAGCCCCCACCTCCATACGAAGCCACCGCCCCCACTGCGCCGGCGCCGCCGGCGCAGACGCCGCCCAGTAGGACGACACCCACCGAGCCTCGCAACTATGGCTCCTATAACACCCACAACGCCCAGGTAGAACTGACAGACTCGCCTCTTGTGAGTTAAACACGAAAGCATCTCCCTGAAATTGGCAGTCCGTTTTCATGTCTCAGCCCGCAGTCAACGCGACCACGGCGGAGCTGATGAAAAGACAAGAGGAGCTGGAGAGGAAGGCCCGGGAGCTGGAGAGGAGAGAGCGAGAGCTGCAGTCTCACAGCTTGGGGCCTGGAGCCGGTAAGATGGTTGCGGGGGGGCGGGGGGGGGGGGCGATTTGGGGAACTAACTGTGGCTTGCGTCTTTGTGCTCTGCTTCAGCCCGACAGAATAACTGGCCTCCCCTGCCTTCGTTCTGTCCCGTCGGGCCCTGCTTCTATCAGGACATCAATGTGGAGATTAGCCAACGCTTCCAGCGAACCGTCACCGTCATGTACTACTTTTGGTTGTGTGAGTTTCAAATCGAGCATTTTTTCCGACCACTCGCCAACCTGCAGGTGCTCAGCTTGGTTCATGTGGAGCCGAGTAGCTCCGAGTACGCCGGTGAGACCGGAGCACAAGTCACCAAGACGGCTTCTTTTGTGTCTGGTGGTTTCGCTGTTGCCCGGACGCGCAGTCGGCACCGGCACTCTGCTCTTCAACCTGATCTCCTCGCTGGCCATGTTCTGTATCGACACTTCGGTGGGGGTCGGGCTCGGTCTCGCCATCCTCTGGGCGCTCCTCTTCACACCGTGCTCCTTTGTCTGCTGGTATCGGCCCGCGTACAAAGCCTTCAGGTGCTTACCTGTCCAATCTCAAGCCAAAACATAATGAACGGCGACTTGTTTCAATTTCTTACCCGGAGCTTTTTAACAGGGACTTTCTGTGTTCCTCTCTAGGAGTGACAGCTCCTTCAACTTCTTTGTCTTCTTCTTTGTGTTCTTTGCCCAAGTGGTTGTTTATGTCATCATGACCATTGGCATCCCCGGATGGGGATTCAGGTAACGACTGGGCAATCTGGTTCCTGATTGTCCTCGATTTCCCAAAAAGAATGCTTTTTTTTTTCTCACCATCTCGCTAAATCTTCTGCGTTCTTGTCGTCGTCTCTCAGCGGCTGGATCGTGAGCTTGACTGCCCTCAAAAAAAGCGTCGCCGTCGGTGCAATCGCCATGATGAACGCCATCCTTTTTACCGCCCAGGCCGCCATTGGGGTGTTCATGCTGAAGAAGGTAAGCGCTGACGACATCCACGAATGTGTCCCCATCTCATCTTTTTGAAGGTTTGCCATGAAAAAAAAGGGGATGCGAGGGCTCATTCGTTGCTGCAAGCGCCTTCAAAATCGGAGGAAGCCGACGAATGAGCCGTCGCCTGCCCGCCTTTTGTCTTGAGTCGCAAGCCAAAATTTCAGTTCCAAGCATGTTGTTACGCAGCCATCTACGGGAAGATGGATGTCATCGTGAAAGCTGGAAAGGGAAGACTCACCATTCAACCGTTAAAGGCTTTTTGTTTGTCCTCGTACGGTGAGTTCAAGTGGGATGGTTCCGGGCTCCTGCGGGTGTTGATCTCCCGCCTCACTGGGAGGCACCCGCAAAAGCCCTTCTTCTTACGCTGTTGAAACTGGAACGGGCCCGCGCACGCTACCGTGTCGAGAATGAGAAATGAGCGAAGAAGTCATTTGCCGCCCAATCAAACCTATGTTCTTTCCCCGCTCAGGTCCACGGCCTTTACAGACAGACCGATGCCAGTTTTCAAAAGGCCCAGGCCGAGTTTGCCACCGGGGTCATGTCTAATCAGGCGGTCCGCCAAGCTGCTGCCGGGGCTGCCGCCAACGCCGCTCAAGGGGCCTTCGCCGCGCCCCGCTGACTTCGGAGGGACTCGGTCATTCAAGGGGGCTCCGTTGCACAGCCGCAGGGCGCCTGCAGTCGGACGTTCCTTTTCGCACTGGCCGTGAGATGGCGGCGGGCGTGGCCGAGTCTCGGTACAACCAAGCGCATGAGACTCTGCGGGCCGATGTCATATCTATTAATGGTGATTTCAAGTGTTTAATCAGAAGCCGACCTCGATTCCCACACGCAGCTGGCGTCCTCTTCAGATGCCGAAATAAAGTGACGGCGCCGTTCGAGACGAGCGCGCCGCATTTCCCGCGGAGGAGCCGCACTCGTCCGAACAACAGGCGGGAACCGTCAGGTTCAGCCAAGTTCTTTTGTCAGCTAAAACGGCTCCATTTAAACATCTGCGTCATCATATTTGTCAACGTGAACCAAACGCTAGCTTTTGTGGGAGCAAACTCACAACGTCTGTCAGAGCATGCCTCTTTCTGTTGCCGTTCAGAAATTCACGTCCTTTGGCCTGCCCCCGGTTCCATTGATGCATTTTGTTCTGGCTTGTCTTTGTTTTAATACAAATAAACTGACGTGCAGAAATATCTGCGTCTACTGCAGTCATTGAATGACATTCGTGTGAAGTCATGAGTCACCCGCTCGCCACGCTTTATCGCTTGGATAAAGTTGACCAAGTTGCGTGCGGCACGTGCGACTCTGGATTAACTGCCTGAGGGCAAGGGGTATTGACCAAAACAGGAATACAACAAGTCGACCCGACGCTCACAAGTAATGCTCGGGGCCTCTCACTGACCTTGAACGTGCCTGGAGTCATCCTTCGGGTCCTCGGGGCATTCTTCACAATGTAGCGGTCATCGGCACGGGATGTCCGCTTCTACATCTTTCTGTGACTCTTCCAGTCTCTCGGTATCTGTTGCAACCTCCCGATGACAATAGCAAATGCATACAATTTGATTTGTTTTACAAATGAGTGACCAATCTTTGTGTTGAAATTTGGTTTTTTTTTTTTTGGAGAGGGGCGGAAGTATTTTTTGAAGATTTAAAAAAAAACGAGTCCATGTCTTTGGCGCCACCTGTCGCACTCGAGGCACTCTGCGCCCACGATGACGTCTGTCAACCTGCGTTTTTTTTTTTTTTTTGCCAGCTGCTTTGCGTTTTGACACAACATCATAAACATACAAACATTTTTTTTCAACGATTTGTACGCGTCCACCTTAGTGACGTTGGATGTGGAAACGACACATTTTATGACGTGGTTCGTCGCACGTTGCGTTGTTTTTTATTCTTACTTATAAGGACATCCGCCCGTCGAGGCGGGGGTGGGGTGGGGGGGGTCGCGCGCGCATGGACGGAAACATGGCGGAGGCCGCGGCGGCGACAATTGAGCAGCACCGGTTCTTCTGTCACGGCTGCAAGCGTGAAACGCAACCCCAGCTCCCGGTAAGTCGCTTGGAGTTGACAAGACCCGACGATATGCGGTTAGTCAGATCCCCCGAGATGTGCATCACATTTTCTGATTGAACCGAAAAGAGCTGTCTGAATGGGGCACTACTTTCACCCAAGTCCGTTGAAGTTACAAATCTACCCCCCGGCGCTACTTTCTCCGTTTGAGCGCACTGTTTTGGGCTTGTCTTTACGTTCCGACCAGCACGAGAAGTAAACATCAAAATCCGGAGTGACTCCATATTTAGAAGGCTACTCTGGTGTCCGGTTGTCTCTACTTGCATGAGAGCAGGAGGTGTGTGTGTGTGTGTGTGTGTGTGTGTGTGTGTGTGTGTGGGTGTGTGGGTGTGTGTGTGGGACATGGTCTGGCGCTCTTGCTTTTATGGCACCGACATACGACTTGGTGCACACGCAGAGCCGCCGATACGTTATTCGGGGTTGTCCTTTGCAGTCGGATAGCATCGTGATGGCGTTGCGCAGAGTCCTGAGAGTGGAGGTGCAACAAATAATCGATTCATTTACAATTAATTGAGTATGGCACGATCAGCTATTTTTTTACATTGTTTACCTTCAAATGGTCTCAAGCTGAATTTCAGCCTCTCAACGGTAAAAAAAAAAAAAAAAAAAAAAAGAAAAATCCAGATTTCTGTCGTCGTCCATTAAGCAGACTGATTATCTTGGTGTCTAATCAAAATCATTTTACTTCTGAAAAGAATGCTCCTTGAAATATTACGCCCCCCCCCCAAAAAAAAGTTCAGTTTAATTGATGCTTTGTAAAATCGTCATTAGTATCGCCCCCGGAAGATTTTAGTGGTTGATGAGTCCAAAGACATTTTGCTGACCATTTAAATGTTTTCCAATTTATTCACTGCAATTCAGGGGGCATGCCCAGGGCTGCTGCCCCCCCCCCCACAACCCATTTGCACATCCCTGGCTGAAGTACATATTTTCTTAGCAAACCTCTCACACACCACGTAACCAAACAAAAATAGATTTTTTTACACCAGTAAATGATCTACCTTCTGCCTATCACGACAAGTCGCTCGCATAGATAAGTGAACTAAGATACGTTATTTGTCATCAATACAAGATTTCCGGGCCAATCAAAGCGAATGCGTTTTAGTCTTGTGATTATCTATGCTTTCCTAATCGGAACATTGATAATTACAGTGAATGTTTGAATGCAAAATACTTCCATAGATATAAAGCAATGGAAGCACGGCATGAACTGAGCCTGCCTTCTCGTACTGTGTGACAACATATTCTGAGACCGTTCCCCAAGCAAGTTCATGACCTCGAAACGGTGCGTGTTGGGGCCTTCGGTCATAAACTGAGACCCCCCCCCCTCTCTTCTGGTGCACTTTAACGATAACATAAATCTTTTGCAGCATGGGTAGGTAGATAAGTGGGGGGGGGGTTCCCATTTTTGTGTTCAGATAGTTTGTAATCCCCTTAGAAATCGCATGTGATGTTACTGCCGAACTCAAATGCTGCATTAATCCGAGAAACGAGCACTATGATTATGGTTCTTAGCAAATCACAGCAATCCCCAGACCCTATGCAAATCTGTCCCACGGGAGCTGTGAATTGCGGATGGATGACATCAGCGCCTTGAGATCTGATGATCTCCCGGTATTGCCATGACATCATTGCTGCATCATCACTTGCTCAATGATCCCGTCTTTTATATCCCCGCAGAAAAATGTTCCTGACAAAGGGGCCTGAGAAAAGTAGTCACGTGTTGGTATCAAACACGGTTTGTTCGTTCTGCTTACCTTGCGCAAACCCACCACTACTTCAACAATATGCACCTGGTTGGGTCGTTTCGCCCTCCAGAGTCGCCCTCCAGAGACTACAGTGGTACTTTGAGAAATAAGTTTCATTCATTCCATGACACAAAACACTCTTCTCAAATCATATTTCCCCATTTCAATACAGTATATGGAAATGACATTAATCTCTACCCCATCTGAATTGTGAATGAGACGATACGATCAATATTTGCAAGTAAAACGAGTTTTTGTTCTCTTTTCAAGGATTTTGTCTGCCCCAGTTGCAAGTCTGACTTTATTGAGGAGGTGGAACATGACTCCAGGTACAGGACCATTTTGGGATTGGGCTCCTGTTTCAGAAATTCAGACAAAGGGGGGCAAAAAAAGTTTCCCCTACCAAAGCTGCTTTTTGTTATGATGTCCAGACTCCTGGAGAACAGCACACCAGAGACCAGGGATGACTCGAACTCGTTGTTCTCAGAAGTAATCCTTTGCGAATTACATTTCCAACGAAATGCTCCTATTTGTGCCAAGCCTTTTGACTCACCGTTTCTTCTGTACCTCTTGCAAGCTCTGGCAGCTGTTGTTTATGGAGCGCTCTGCTCTGCTGTCGCACCCGCCAGCGTCGGAGGCA